GAAAATAACTTTTTTGTTTCATGTTTATGATGGAGTATGAGTGTACATCATAGTTAGCCCCATGCTATACTCCGTTTTCTCTAATATAAGCCACCAAGACAAGGATAGGAGAATGGTATTTGTTTACCATATCCTCTTCATAACTCTGTCGAGCTGCTCGGTGTTATGCCAAATATTATTCATTCTGGAGTATTTAACATGTTTTATGTTATTTATATTGTTTCTTATGTCATATTAGATCAATTGTGATAGGCAAATAAGCTGTAGTGTTGATATTAGCGTAATAATAAAGCATATTCTCCTGCTTCATGAAACTGAGCTCATGGCAACCGACAGTGGCTTCAAAGTCACCTTATCTTTAACCCTTTGAGGGTCGACAGGCCCTCTCCGAAACTCGTTCTCAGGGTCGGCCAAATTTAAAAAAAAAAAAAAATTATTTTCTCTTATGAAAAGATAGAGAATCTTTTCCCGATCATAAAGACACCAAAAGTTTGAAATTTGATAGAAAACTTATGGAATTATGCTCTCGCAAAGTTAGCGGTCTCGGCGATGTTTACGCATCGGCGATTTTGCCCACTTTGAGCCCCATTTTCGGCCAATTTCACTGTACTAGACGACAAAAAACATGAATATTTCGCTAGAACTCCATTTTTTTTATCAAATGGGTGCAAGAAACTACCCATTTATGAAATTCAACTATCCAGTACAGTGGTCAGAATTTAGCAATTTTGCTAATTTCACACAAATTTCAAAAGATGCCAATTTCCGAATAGTCATTTCCTCTAGTCATTAGTCACGTCTCAAGGCCCCTCTTATATTCTTTTGCTTTCCACTTTGAATTTTTATTCTCACAAAAAATATAAGATTTACTGTTATGCAGACTACTGCATTAGTGTAAAAAATGGTATAAATATTATTGGTGCACTTGTGAAAGAATATTAGACTCACCAGTTGACGTGTATTGCACGCTTGGCACGATTTGTTTACTTTTGAAGTTTGGTAAAAATCGAACATTTCTGCTACTTTGAGCTCAATTTCAAGGCACCTTTCATTGTAAAACCAGTCAAAATCATCTCAATTTCTGTAATATGTCTTCCATTCTATAAAATGAGACCAAGAAAACTAGAATACAACAATAAATACCATACGAAAATACACTGCAAAGTCGCTGATTTATTCCAAAAAAATGGTCAAAGTTTTTTTTTTTCTCATTATGCACTGTGTGCTGCAGGATTTTTTTTAGACTGTGCACACTGACCACATAGACCCATTCTTTCATATGAAGGCCTACCAGCTTTCTCCCACTAGATTTGAGGCCGCTAGAATTTATGCGTACTAGTACGTCAGAAACCCCTACGCGTAAGACGTACTAGTACGACCAAAACCCTCAAAGGGTTAATGGATAATGTACTGTGTAGGTGCTTTACATAATGAGAAGCATTTCTTTTATTCATTGGAACCATGGCTAGGGCTAAAAGTAAGTAGGTTAAAACAATAAATGGAGAAAAAGAAATTGGAATGGCTTATGCAGCAAGTAGCGCCACCAAACAGTACCAGCAGGTTGGTGTGGCAGCCCTGGAAATTTGAAATTATGCTAGCCAAAATTAGTGCCGAATAACTGAAGGAACCAAATAACTGATTGCCGGATTTGTGATGGCAGACCTGTATTATACTATTATTATTATTATTATATGTATTGTTATTATTCATATTATTATACACATTATTATTATTATTATTATTATCATTATTATTATTATTATTATTATTATTATTATTATATAAATTATTTGTAATCAAATAATGATAATTCTAATTATGTCGGAGGATCTCACCTTCAAGGACCATAACATTGTATCAATCGCATCTGCTAGAAAAATGACAGGATGGATAATGAGAACCTTCAAAACTAGGGAGGCCAAGCCCATGATGACACTCTTCAGGTCACTTGTTCTATCTAGGCTGGAATATTGCTGCACTCTAACAGCACCTTTCAAGGCAGGTGAAATTGCCGACCTAGAAAATGTACAGAGAACTTTCACGGCGCGCATAACGGAGATAAAACACCTCAATTACTGGGAGCGCTTGAGGTTTCTAAACCTGTATTCCTGGAACGCAGGAGGGAGAGATACATGATTATATACACCTGGAAAATCCTAGAGGGACTAGTACCAAACTTGCACACGAAAATCACTCACTACGAAAGCAAAAGACTTGGCAGACGATGCACCATCCCCCCAATGAAAAGCAGGGGTGTCACTAGCACGTTAAGAGACCATACAATAAGTGTCAGGGGCCCGAGACTGTTCAACTGCCTCCCAGCACACATAAGGGGGATTACCAACAGACCCCTGGCAGTCTTCAAGCTGGCACTGGACAAGCAACTAAAGTCAGTTCCTGATCAGCCGGGCTGTGGCTCGTACGTTGGTTTGCGTGCAGCCAGCAGCAACAGCCTGGTTGATCAGGCGCTGATCCACCAGGAGGCCTGGTCACAGACCGGGCCGCGGGGGCGTTGACCCCCGAAACTCTCTCCAGGTAAACTCCAGGTAAACTCCAGGTAACTGTATTTGTGTATACCTGAATAAATTTACTTACTTACTTACACACAAAAATATAAGATTTACTGTTATTCCTTATTGCAATAATTGTATATTGGAATGGACAGTGACGTCATTTGTTTACTCTGAAACAGCCAAGCAATGGACCATTTCTCCTGGGTTGAGCTCTATTTCAAGGTACTTTTTGTCATGAAAGCAATCAAACTCATATTTATTTCTGTAATATATCTTCCATTCTATCAAATGAGACCAAAAAAATGAGAATACAGCCATAAAAACCATTCGAAATTACCACTAAGGGGTGGCTAATTGCTGAGAAGTGAACTCCATTATTTATGCTTAGATTTCTTTCATTTTTGGTGTAAGTTATGAAGCATCTTTCCATCATACATTGCCCAAGTTTCAATAAGATAGTCCTACAAACAACTGAGATACAATTCCCGAGATCAAGAGCAAGAGTCCCTCACCAGTGTCAAGGAACCTGCCTTGAGGTCTGCTCACTTGTGGAAATTTTGCTCGCGTATGGAAGAAAAAAATTGACCCATCCACTGCTTGTATTTGGAAAAACTCACGTGGACACGCTCGCAAGTAGAGGTTCCATTCCAATTTCAAAAAGGGTCCAGAATAAACAATGCAGGCATTCCTGGCACTAAAATAACATTTTCTTTGTTTATTAGTTACATTTCCAGGCTTTACACATGAATTCCAATTTGATTTTTTAATCAAACAAGGAATTTTTATTCACACAAAAAACAGATGATTTGCTGTTATGCAATATTGTAATAATATCAGTGCACATCTGTGAACACATCAGACCCACCAGTCGGACATGTATTAGACGAGTGACATGATTTGTTTACTCTTGAATAGAGGCAAAAAGCGAACATTTCCACTACTTCGAACTCAATTTCACGTTATTTTCAGTCCTGAAACCAATCAAAATCATCTCTATTTCTAAAATATCTTCCATTCTATCAAAAGTCAAAAGACACCAAGAAACTGAGAATAAAACCATAAAAGCCATACCAAGATACATCGCAAAGTCACAGCTTTAACCCTTTCACTGTCGAGAACCTTGCTCACAAACTTGCTCTCAGTGTCTAAGAATTTAAAAAAAAAAAAAGAATTATTTTTCTTAAGAAATGATAGAGAAATTTTTCCCGATGGTAATGGCACCAAAAGTACGAAATCTGATGGAAAACTTACAGAATTAAACTCTCATGAAGGTAGCAGTCTTGGCAATATATACGCATTGGCAATTTTGCCCACTTTGAGCCCTATTTTCGGCCAATTCCATTGTTCCAGTCGACCAAACTCATAGCTGTTTCACTAAAACTCCATTTGTTCTATCAATTGAGTACAAGAAACTGCCCATTTACTGGTTTCAACTACCCAATAAAGTGGTCAGAAATTGGCAATTTCACACAAATTTCGAAAGATGCCAATTTCAAAATAGGGTCCAGAATAAACAATGCAGACATTCCTGGCACTAAAATAACATTTTCTCTGTTCATCAGTCATATCTCCAGGCCCCTCTAATATTGCTCTTGCTTTCCATTTTGAATTTTTAGTCACAAAAAAATAGATTTACTGTTATGCAGACTACTGCTTTGTTGCAATAATTGTATAAATAATGTCAACCCACTCGTGACTGTGTATTAGACTGGCCAGTTGGACACGTATTGTTTACTCTTGAACAGTGGAAAAAACCAAACATTTCTGTTACTTTGAGCTCAATTTCAAGGTACTTTTCATTGTGAAACCAATCAAAATCATCTTTATTTCTGCAATATATCTTCCTTCTATCCAATGAGACCAAGAAAACAAGAAAAAACCATAAATACCATACGAAAATAAACCTCAAAGTCAGCATTTTAAACCAAAAACACAGTTGGAGTTTTTTTTTTCTCATTATGCACTGTGTGCTGTAGGATTTCTTTTATACTATGAACACTGACCACTCAGACCCATTCTCTCACATGTAGCTCTACCAGCTTTCTCCCGCTTGATATGAAGGCATATTAATACGGCACCAACATTAGCTTGTAAGCCATACTAATACAACACCGACAGTGAAATTGTTAAACCAAAAACACGGTCTCAATTATTTCTCATTATGCACTGCATTCTGCAGGATTTTTTTTCATATGGCACACACTAATTGCATAGACCCATTCTCTCATATATGGCCCAAATTTTATGCTTACAGCTTATCTGAGTGAGCTGAGCTCGTGGCATACTACAATGGCACAGCCTATGACCAAAGCCATAGTACTACAACACAGCCAGTGAAGTCGTTAAGATTGAATTTGTTGGTAGTTATCCATACAGATATTTTTAGGAGCTCATTACTGGTATACACAGGCTCATGTACCTTACTAGATTAATATTTCAAGAACAACATTCTTGAATGTTTTATGAAACTGAAGTGAAAAACAAATGTAATATCTTCATACAGTGTTTATTTACATTTCACAAAATACTACACCAATTTTATTTGGAAATATTGTCATTAATCCTCGTACCTGTAAAATCCAGCAGGAGGATGTTTTTTAAGGAAATCCTTAACTGCTGCAGGAAAAAATGCAAGAAACTTGAATCTAGTTCCCATCTTCAGAGGGTCTGTCAACATTTTAAACCCAGAGATGAGAGATTTCTGCTCATCAAGATGACAGTGTTTCATCAAATTCTGAAAAAATGCAAAATTATTTTAATAAATAATTAAATAAAAGGAACTCGGCCACCATGGACAAAATCCAGGTTAGCGAACAAATCAATTTCTTATTGCTTCGTGTTTGTGGGAAAGTGTAGATATTGCCTTCTACAGCTGCAAGTTAGGCTCAGAGTCCCATAACAAAGTATGGTAACTCAAGCTTCAGAGCTCCAATATCCCTGATGCCTGCATTTTTCCCCATTGTTTGAATTTGATGCTATTTCAAGGTTTAAGTATTCTTTCATAAGAACATAAGAAATGAGGAACATAGCAGTAGGCCTACTGATCAATACTAGGCAGCTCCTTCTGAAACCCAAACTCATTAACAAAAGTATGTATTCGGACAACCTATTTTCAATGCTACCCAAGGAATAAGCTTTGATAACCATATTAACTCATGTTGTGTAATTCCCACTCAAATCCGGTTTTCTTGATTTTTATTTTCTTGACTCGATTTTCTCACAAGATGTATCCCTTCGATCCCCGTTGGGGAGGGGAACCTTTAGTCTACATCACTCATGATGCATTTCTCGAACAGGGTGAAGATTAAACCAGCAAGTGGGACAGTCAATGACAGTCAATGCCACTAATGGCAGCTGCCATTAGTGGCATTCTGCGAGTCAAGCGTAATGGGATTCTCTTGCTAAAAGAAGCTTTCGTATTAGTCTGTTCTGACAACATCAAGGCTGAGAGACTAACCACCACTGATGCTACCACCACTCTCCAACAGTGAGGATTTCAAGTCATGACTTCCCCAGCTTTGAGGGAAAAGAAAACTGTTTTTCAAGTGGCTGGACAAGCTCATCACTGCTCAAGATATCGCAGCAATCAAATCATCCACAGAAAAACAGAACACTTGGACCAAGTTAGAACATATCACTAAGATACCAAACGCTTCCTCCATGCTGATGGTCACCTTCAGTGATGTCAACATGGCAGCCAGAGCTCTCGCAGAGGGACTGGCTATTCACTATTTTCACATCAATCCAGCCTACATTGAAGCAGAGAAACTCAGTCATATTCCACAGTGTTATAACTGTTACTCATACCTGCACACCACTAAAGATTGTCCCACCAAGGACAAGAAGCTCTGCTCTGCCTGCGGCAAAGGACATGAATTCAAGTCATGTACTACCACCACTCCACCCAAATGCCTGAACTGCAAGAATGACCACCATACCTTTGCTGCCAAGTGTCCAACAAGGCGTGAAGCATTCAAGAAACAAACTGAACAACATAACACAACCACTGATCAAACTACAACACATGCTCCTACAACCAAGCTCCAAGTAGATACAGTGGACCCCCGAGTTTCGTGATTAATCCGTTCCAGAGAGTCTGCCGAATGACGAAACCATTTTCCCCATAAGAAATAATGGAAATAAAATTAATCTGTTCCAGACACCCAAAAATGTTAAAATAATTTTTTTTTTTTTTTAAATTAAAAAAAGATTTACATACTGAAGACAAAGAGAAATCAAGTACATACATATATGAAATATTAATATTAGACTTACCATTACTGAAGACTTCTGGGTGGATGGAAGATGGGAGGAGGGGATAGGAGGAAAGTGTACACTATTGTTTGGAAGGAGAATCTCCTTCCATTAGGACTTCAGGTACCAAGTCCTTATCTGGGGTTACTTCCTTTCTTTGTTTTTTAAAGACACAGGGAACAACTTGAGAGTCACTGGACCACTGTCGCACAAAATATCTGTCCAGAGAGCTCTGTTTCTGGCGTTTCTTTAAGATTTGTCTGAAGTGGGACACAACACTGTCATTGTACATGTTACCAATACAGCCTGCAACAGCTTTGTCAGGGTGAAGTTCATCCATAAATGTTTGCACTTCAGTCCACTTTGCATTAAACCAGTCTAGAAAAATTCCCTTTGTGACCCATGCCTTATTGTTAGCCTTCCACATCACACACTAATTACTCTTGGCGACACTGTTTTCCTTGAACACTCTGGGATTTTCAGAGTGATACACCAGTAAAGGCTTCACTTTGCAATCCCCACTAGCATTACTTGGGAGTGCCGTTTCCTCCTGCGTGATGTAGGTCCTCTTTGGCATTTTCTTCCAAAAGTGGCCTGTTTCGTCACAATTAAACACTTGTTGGGGTTTGAATTCTCCAGTGTCTACGCACTCCTTAAACTCCAGTACAAACTTCTCAGCTGCTTTTTTGTCAGAGCTGGCACCCTCACCATGCCTTATCACACTGTGAATGCCACTACGCTTCTTAAATCTCTCAAACCAACCTTTGCTGGCCTTAAAATCACAAGCATCACCACTCGTTGCAGGCATTTTCTTTATGAGATCGTCATGCAACTGCCTTGCCTTTTCACATATTGACTGCATAATACTATCTCCTGCTAACTGTTTTTGGGTAATCCACACCAACAATAACCTTTCCACTTCGAGGATTTGCGATCTCTTTTTTGTCAGCATATCTACCCCTTTTGCAACAACAACACACTTTATTTCCTTTCCCTTTGCCACGATCGAAGTGATGGTTGAATGGGGTTTGCCATACATCCTGGCAAGTTCTGTAACACGCACTCCGCTCTCATATTTTTCAATGATTTCCTTCTTGAATTTGATCGTGTTCCTCGCTTTCTTTACCAAAGGGCTTGCACTAGCTTTCCTTGGGCCCCTGGTGACTTATTTAGCAGTTGCAAGCACAAAAATCAATGGATTATTATGAAATGTATTGTATGAACCTGTGGGGTGATGGTCATGTGCTGATAAACAATGGCACACTGAGTGTGAATGGTGCGAGAGACTGGCTTTGTGTGCGTGGTGACGGGCAGACACGTACCGGAGGGGTCACTGAATCACGAGTCCAATCACAAACTGCGAGGCTAAATTCTGCCGAAAAAACTTGCTGAAAGTCGGATTTCATGAAAGTCGATGCCGACGAAACTCAGGGGTCAACTGTACTTCCAAGATTCTCAAAGCCACCCAATCTGCGTCTTCCTCTAGTACTCCATCCCCTCCACCTTCTGAAGGCGACTCCACTAAAATCCTCTACTGCATCATGTATGCTCATGTACACAATGTAGCTGCACCTGGATCGTTCAACACCACCATCAATGAACTCTTCAAATTTAACAATATGCCAGGATTCACATTCCCTGACTCTCCACCTTTGTCAGACATCATAAAATCCACTAGCAGCACCATAACGATCTCCACAGCTCCACCAACTCTACCACCTCCCTCCGCCGAGGAAATGGGCCAATCACAGGCCACTGAGACGCCACCAAATCCCACCAATGAGACCACCATCATCCTCGCCCTCCACCGCCTCAACCGACCAATCACTGACCTCTCCTGCCTCTGAGACCAAGTCAGACTACTACTGTATGCCTGGTATCAAACTCTACACCACAAAACCTTATAAGAACGTAATGTTTGTCCAAGAACTGGAACAACGACTCCGAGATGGGACTGTCAAATACTCCTGTGGTGAAGAACCACCAATTCCCTTGGATGAAGTACTACTCTACTTCCTTGCCAACCCTGGATCAGACCCCACAACACCATTCAAAGCACTGCACCTCACCAGAACGAAGTTCAGCGGTCTCTCCAATGGCTCGGTTATATAACCAATCTCTCAATGTTTATCCATTGTCAAGCAGAAGTTCCCCAGCACTTTGCTATTTAGCTAAAGTTGGGGTATTTCTCCAATCGACCCTGATTTAGCTGCCATCTCTATCCTTCCTGCTGCCTATTGCCTGCCTTCCAAGCTGCCATCTCTGCCCTTCCTGCCATCTCCTGCCTGCCTCCCACAGCACACAGCTGTTCCCAGCAGCACTCACGCATCGACACAAATGCCTGCAGTATGTCTGCACAACTTGCCCAGAGTGGATGGGCCACTCACCTTTATTATCCCTCCTCCTACACCATCCCAACCCTTTCCCATGTTTCCATCCTAACCCATCCTTCTTCCTTCCCCATCTTACCGACACTCAGGTCAGAACCTTCAACCACTCAAGTCAAACCCCTCTCACTCATGTATTTATCTAACCTATATTTGAAGCAGCCCAAAATTTTAGAAGCCTCAATAACCCATTAGTCAAACTTCCACTCATCGACTTCTCTATTTCCAAACTGGTACTTTCCCATTCTAAATCTAAACTTATCCAATTTGAATCCATTATTTTGAGTTCTTCCTTGGAGGAATATCCTCAGAACCTTACTTATATCTCTTTTATTTATGTCTGTCCTCCACTTATACGCTTCAATCATGTCTCCCCTCATTCTACGTCTTACAAGAGAATGCAGTGCAATGAATGAATTTTGTCATTCTTCTCTGAATGTTCTCTAACAAATTTATATCAATTTTGTAATATGAAAACCAGAAATGAGCTGCATAATCTAAGTGAGGCCTTACTCATGGAGAGCTGTCGTATAACCTCTAGACCCTCGTTGCTTTTCTTTCTTCATATAAATCCCAGTAATCTGTTTGCCTTATTACTTAAGCTTAAGCACTGCTGTCTTGGTTTCAGGTTCCTGCTTACCGTAACTAACTTCCTTTCACATTTTGTATGGTAGTAGGTTGGTAGACAGCAACCACCCAGGGAGGTACTACCGTTCTGCCAAGTGAGTGTAAAACGAAAGCCTGTAATTGTTTTACATGATGGTAGGATTGCTGGCGTCTTTTGTCTGTCTCATAAATATGCAAGATTACAGATACGTCTTGCTACTTCTGCTTACACTACACATTTATTTATACACACTCATCTGAGTTTTCTTTGATTTTATCTTAGTTCTTGTTCTAATTACAGTGGACCCCCGGTTCGCGATGCTATCGGTATCTGATAAATCCGGTAACCGATGCATTATATTGCAGAAAATTTGCCTAGCTTCCTGATACAAAACCCGGTATGCGATGTGGTTCGTACGAGACGTGTCCATGTGTGGCCTGAACTGCCCTGTGTGTGCCAGTGTTTACAAGCCAGCCAGTGTGCGCG